TATCTCATAGGAATCAAAGAAAAGGTACTGGAATGACAGTCTCAGGGCAGGTGAGTTTGGCATTGGGATCTCATGAGTATTTGCTATGAGGAATTACATAAAACACACTTCTTTTCTCTCCCTTCCAAACTAATTTCTCACCTTCTGTAGATCTTTTATCAACTTTGGAGCTCCTACTTATTCATAAATTTGAATCATTCATAATGTTGACTCACTCATGGCCTATTATGACCACCCCACTTCTCTCTACTTCATGAATTTTCAGTTTCAGGCTTCCTTATTAATCATAAGAGCGTAATTTCATTTTTTCAATTCAAATGGTAGAGAGAGAAAATCTAATATATTCAATCTTTGAGCAGAGCTAATTACAATAGATTAGTGATACACAGTTAGGCATCATCCAATCCAGGACACTTATATGAGAGTGAAAGAGGCACTGTTAATAATTAAGCCAGGACAATAAGTACAAACCAGGACTGTTCTGGGCAAATTGGAAAGTATGTTCACCTGGGCATATGACTAATCAATTTATACTGGGTTCCCTAAGATTGGTTGCTCAGTGATTGTCAAATTAGCCATACTTTTATGTGTGTTCAGGGGGCACGGGGTGGTAACTGGCACATGATTGTCCATTAAAGAGACTAATGACTTTCTAAGGGAATGAAAACATGTTCATCACTAACTTACAGAACATTCATACCATAGGACTATAAGGACCATTAGGGATTACCAGTGATCCTCGTACCAAACTTTGGAGACCACCTAAACAATCCACTCTTTGATGTATTATCAGGATACATTCTAAGGCTGAAGATAACTTGGTCCTGAATTCAACTATTGCTTATTACATAAAATGCAAAGCCATTTGATAAAATATCAGTCCTCAACAGAACATTTCAAATCAGTATTGATGAAGTTAGAGCATGGAAGCCTGTTGTATAGGATTGTCTAAAATAAATAATCTTGGGAGCCACTGATGTCTCCAGTTGACAATGTTGGTTGGGATATAATTGAAATTAAAACATTCAGAAGTGTATTCATGGCTGTCTCAGATACAATGAAGGCGAAGGGAAGTTCCTGACATTACCAAGGGAGGAAATGGCTTTTTTAGTGTCTCAGATCTCTGAAAATTAAAGAGAAGTCTGTCCAACCATTGTTCTGCATCAATACATTATAAAAGATTTGTCTTTCTAGGTTGATCTTGTAAATACAGTTTTTACAGTTATTTCAGTAAAATTGCAAGAAAGATGTATTCCTCTCTTTGGAGTTTTAGATAGACAAGATAACTAAGTTTTTTTTTCTATTATAGGATAACAAAAGATAAAAGCTTTCAGCAACTTTTTGGGTATGTTGAGCAGTGATTAGATGAGGTAGCAGTCCTAGAAGTCCTAGGCTCAAGTTTCACTTCAGCTATTTTGTCTTTAAATATATTTTTTCATCTGAGAAATGAGCAGATTGAACTAGATCAGACTTTGCAATGGGGCTCTGCTGGCCTATAGAGTTCCATGTATCTACATGGGTACCTTGGATAGGAGAGGAAGGAGGAAGGAGTAAAGATTCCCTTTTGTGTCTCAAGCAGTAAAAAAACTCAGGTTTCCAAACATGTTTCAACAAGATGATAGGTTTCATGTCCTCCATGTTCATGATTTCAGTAACCCTCCTGAAGCAGGTAACATTTAAAGTTTTATCTCCAAATCAGATGCTACCTCTGCACATCCAATTACCTACTTACCTTCACTAAATGGATGTTCTAAAGCCTCTTAAGTTCAACATGCTCAAGACTGAATTCTTAATCTCCCACTATCAAATGGCTTCTTGCTATATTCCTTATCTTAGTGGCATCAGTATCCTTCCAATTGTGCAATCCTCAAAACTAGGTGTTATCCTAGACGTTTATTTCCTTACTTCAACTCATCCTCACTCTCATATTCTGTGAATTTGACTTTTTAATATCCCTTGAATGGTTCACTTCTCTCCATTTACCCTGCAACCAACCTTGTTCAATCTGCTGTCATCTCTTGCCTGGATCATGGCAACAGTTTTCTAACTGGTCTCTCTATTTCTTTTCTGAACCTTCACCCTCTCTCAATTCATTCATTCTCTATATTTAAATTAGATTAATCTTTTTAAAGCTAAATGTGACCTTGCTACTTCCTTTATTGAAATCTTTCAGGAGGTCACCATTGTCTTTAGGATAAAAACCAAACTCTTTTACATGGCCTACAAAGCCTTGCAAATATGGTCTTTTCTCTGCCTCTTTCTCTAGCCCCATCTCATCTCACATTCTCTCCTTTGTGCTTCAGGTTCATGTACAAGTCATGGTCTCTTTTGATGCAGAAACTTTGCATTTGTTCTCTTCATCTGAAATGCTCATTCTGCTTCATCCCATCTCCAAGCCTCTTGCCTGGTTAGTTCTTATTCATCATTTAGATGAAGTTAAAGGGTTGGTTCCTCAGGGAAACTACACTGTCCTCATTTTGGGGTGAGATTCCTATTATTTGTATTTTTATAACCATATTCCTTCCCTTCTTCACATTCAGAGAACTCATTTGTGTGATTATTTAATGAATGAATGAATTCTCCAGTAGTTATAACTCTGTGAGAATGTCTATGGTGGATTGTATTTTCCAAAGATGGTTTCAGTAATATCTACTATCCCACATGGTTTTCTATAATGTGACCTTGTTACTCCCATCAAGAGGTGGAGTTTAATTCCTCTCCCTTTGAATTGGGGCAGGCCTATAATTGCTCTGGCTAAAAGACTACATCAGAAGTGACACTGTATGACTTTCAAGGCCAAAGCATAAAAGGTAATGCAACTTCTTCCTTGTTCATTGGAACACTTGCACTTTGAACCTTGAGCACCATGTAAGAAGTCCAACTACCCTGAGGTCCTGTGCTAAGAAGCAAAGTCACATGGTTTCATACAGGTAGAGGCCACATATAGGTGTTCCAATGGACACTTCTAGGCTTTGCATCATTCCAGCCAGATGCCAGACATATGAGTAAAAAAGCCTTTGATAATTCTAATCTATAGCTGTCTATTTGCCTCCAGCCATTGAGACTTTTGAGGTCCTAGACATCATGAAACAAAGAGAAGCTACTGCTGCCCTACTCCTGTCAGAATTCCTGACCCACAGAACCCATGAGCATAATAAAATGGTTGCTTTAAGCTGTTGAATTTTGAGTAATTTGTTACTCAGCAAGAGTAAATGAAACAAGAATTGTGTCTGTCTTTTTACAGAGGTGTCCCAATTGCCTAACAGAACATTAGTGGTGCCTAGTAGGTCCTCAATGTATATTTATGGAAATAATGGATAAATGCTCATGCCTTTGCTCAAGTTATTCTCCCAACATCTTGCAGAAAGTTCTTTTCCCTCTTCTCTTATAAAATCACATGCAGTGTTCAGTGGCCAATCATGGAACTTTTAGCCAACACTTTTAGTGAGTTCTATATAAAACTATACATAACATAAAATCTCATGAAAAGCAATGAGTCATCAAACTGCAACAGTTTTACAAATTCTTTGTTTAACTGAGCTCTCTTCAAGTTTATTACAATTATTGTTGCATCTTTATTTACTAACCGGTTTCTTTATCTGCCTATCTATCTCTTTATCCCCATCAAGGACTTAGTGGTTTTAAAGTGATGGAGGCAAGATCACTATCCTCATATGCTGAGAGCATTGAGAATTTAACTTCAAGAGTTTACTGTATCAGAAGGAAATTAAGTTGCAGAAACTGGTAGACCCTTACTGCCAATCTATTAAAGGCAAGGTCCAGTGAAGATGCAGAAGGAAGCACCTGAGAAAATGTAGAGACTTTATTACCATGTAGGCAGAGAATCATTTATGCTGCTAGGACACACGTAAGGGATTACTGGCATCCTTTCTTGTATATTATTATATTTTTTAAAAAGCAAGATTTATCAGTTCTGTCTATTCTGATTTAATGACGACACTGTATGGAAAGGAAATGAAGCCAAAGGAAGCTCTGGGGCCAAACTCAACAATGGTTCACCCAAAAAATGTCTGCAGGAAAAAAAAGAGAAAACATTGAACTATAGCAGCCCTCTGAGAAGTTATTTGGAGAAGACCAGAATAACACTGAAAGATCTCAGTGAAAATCCCCATCTGACTGGAAAGCTTTCACCAGTAAGAAATGTGCAAAACAAGAATTTGTATTTCTGGGTGTCATGTAATATAACTGTGGAGCTATTGCGCATGGAGAAACTGGTATAGTGACCCTCGCCCCCACACACATCACATCACATGTATATTTAAGAAAGGGTAATCCTTTCTAATGGCATTTCTGGAAACTAAAGTTCAGTTTCTGCTTGTTACTCCTAATCGTTTCTTTCTAGATTGTACCTCCCTTTCTTAGTTGAGACACGAGAGTGGTGGACTAGTCTGTAATTCTGTAGCCACACTCAGCATATATGACCTAATTGTGTTTGTATGTGAGTTTCACATATACATATATATATACACACACATATATACATATATACATACATATGAGCAACTATATATATATATATATATATATATATATTTGGAATTAATGAATAAATACCAATGCCCTTGCTTCAGTAACTCTCCCCAGCATGTCCCAGAGATATATAACATACATGCATGATTATACATACACAAACACCATATATTTTTACATATTTCCTCCCTCTATATTTTGGCAAAATATGTCCCAGAGATATATAACATACATGCATGATTATACATACACAAACACCATATATTTTTACATATTTCCTCCCTCTATATTTTGGCAAAATGTTCTCAAATACAGGAATTCACAAATGCACAGACACCACTGGGAAACTGACAGTAGGATCTGCAAAATATAGAAGGAAGAGAAATACCAAGCTCATTTCCAAAGGTGGGGTGTGTGTGTGTATGTGTGTATGTGTACATTGCTATGTCAGTTATTTGCCTGTTTACACTCAAGATCCATTTTATGCCCTTTTCTGCCTTTCTCTGTAGGTCAAGGAACCACATATCCAGGCTCCCTTGCCAACTGGCTTCTAAGCATGATAAATCAATTGGAGGCACTGGTACAGGACTGGAGAGTGGAAAGCAGGGAGGCGCAAGAGAACATTTCTTTTTACTGTTTGGTCAGTGTCTTCAGCAGCAGCTGTATCTCTTCCATTGTTCCAGGTTCCCCTTCCCAGCTTCCCCTGGCCAGGCATGCTCTGGTTAGTTTCTGCTGGGCTTTACTGACTCCTGGGCTCTGTTCTCCGTTCAAACCTTGGGTTGGTAGGGTATTGTACTGTTTCTTATCTCTGGGTTAGCTCCTTGTCTCCTATTTGGTTCTTTAAATATTTGATCATGTCTATGACAAACTTCCAGCAATAAGTTCCTCCTGTTTAAAGTATCCAGCATAGTTTCCATTTTCTGACAGATCCCTGTCTGATAAAATTCTTGGTGTAGGGGTAGTCCCACAAAACAGACTCCCAAAATGAGACTCAGTTTGGGGTTAAATATAATTATGACTTTCTTGTGGGTAAAAAATAAGATGTCAGTAAGCTGATCCTAGTAGACCATGACATCATCCACAAACTGAATGAAGGAAAATCTGCTGCCAGTTGAAGTGATGTAGTTCAGGCATATTTATAATGATATAAATTAATATAGATATCTTGTGTTAGATGTTTTAAATGAGCTTTTAGCTTGTGCTGTAGGCTGTTATCTCTTTTAACTTTGCAGCCAAATGCTTTAGTAATAGATGATGGCAGAGGGAGGGGCAAATCATTATTCTCTTAAGAACATTAAGACTTGTTTTAAGGGCTTATTTTTATTCCCACTCTAACAGAAGACGAGGCCCCTATATCACAAGCATGAGTAGTTTATAGGAATAGAAAAAATGTGTACTACAGAATCATGAAAGTCCTTGCTCAAACTCCCAGATTTTGGCATCATATAGTACTGAAGAAATCTTTTTAACCTACACAGTTTTTTAGGACAGGGATGTAGAGTGAATAAAAGATTCTCCATGTGAATGCTGCGGAACATCTACTTTTAAGAACTATACCCTACATCGGTCCTGGGAAGATTAAAGATAGTTACAAAATGTTCCTCAGATAACAACGCACATTGATCCAGTGGATACAATTTTTTGAAATGGAAGAATTAAATATTTGGAAATCCCTTTCTTGAGCTTTCTTGAGCATCTGGTAAATGGCATCTGTCATATGTATCATGAATGGGGTGTTTCTATTCATCACTGGGCCTTAGAAACCATCAACTCTGAGTCATGATGAATGACTTCACTCTTACTGCTAAATGACTCATAAACAACTTAGAGCCCACGAGATTGTTTTGCAAGCTACATTAAATTCATTTGGCTATCTTCCTTATTTAAAAATCAATATATAGATTTTTAGATAAATCCCCTCCCAAAACATATCAGCAAGCAGTTCATGAAACTGGAATACTTGGAGGGTACTTTGGTAATACACAGCAAATTTTGTTACTGTGGCCCCAGTTTTTGTTAAACTGTAACTGCTTCTAGTTTCCTTATTCCCCTTTGACAAATTTCTCTTTGACAAACAGAAATTGACATATGTGCTGGGTAGGAAGAATCACATAAAAAGTCCCACAAGACCACTTTCAGATAATTTCCTAATTTAATTTAATAGAGGCTGAGGGTGCAGTATAGAATTTTATTTTATGTGCTATAATATTTATATTTATGTGTGTAGGATTGACTCTTCCATGCCTGAGATAAGAATGCAATAGGAATTCCCTATTAATCTACTGTCTTCAAGGTTAATGAAAAAGGAAAAATAAAGGGAAACTGTCTCTAGGTTTGTTAAGGTGAAGGTATGTTTGAAGTATAAATTCGCATTATTCGATTTTTGAATATGAAAAAGACTAACAAGACCCAGTGCTGCCAAGAGTAAAGGGAAATGGGCAGTTGTCCTTCCAGAGGGCGATCTGATACAGCAAACCAATTTTTAGGATTATCTTAAGGAAATAATCATACAGTATAATAGGCCCAAGAATGTTCATCAGAGCATTAAACAATGGAAGGCAAATGGAAACAAAGTCAATATTCATCAATAGGGCACCGGCAAAGTAAAACATAGTAGTTTATGTCTTAGCTTGGTTTCTCCAGATTTATGGTATCTGAAATGGTAGCCACATGTAACTAATGAACACTTGTATGTGGCTAGATACATGCCTGATTCCAAAGATGCAATATGAAAAAAGAATGTAAAATATATCATTAATAATTTTTATTAATAATTTCTATTGATTCTCTGTTGAAATGATAATTTTTATAGACTGAGTAAAACATTGTTAAAATTAATTTCATCAGTTTCTTTTTACTTTTTTTAATGTGGCTGCCAGAAAATTTTAAATTGGATCTGTGGCTTGCATTTGTGGCTTGCATTATATTTCTAGTGACAACACTGTTCTAGAAGCAAAGCTTGAGACAGGGATTTATATGCAAGTAATTTATTAAGGAATGCTTCGTAGGGGAAACGTAAAAAGAACAAGAGAAGCAAGACAAGGAATCAGAGGAAGCCGAGCAAGGGTGTGATTCAGATGAAGTCTCAGACTCAGTCACAGCCCAATCCTGCAGGGAACTCTGGAGTATAAATTGTATCTCAAGAGTTTGTCCCACTTTGAGGCAAGGGAACTGGGTTTTTATATCTTTACATCAGTTAGTCCTTGGCTATGGGCCCACCCCGAGGGCATGTATACACTCAGGCATTTCTGGCTCTGCATTGCACTGAAGCAGTTCCAGTAGCCCAAGGGACAGCCCTCTAAAGCTCACAGGTGCAAGCCATTGGAAGCAAAGCATATGGGAACTGGGAGATTGGGGAACAGAATAAATTATAGGGATCTGAGAGGATAAGAATAGTCCACTGACAGTATCAGGTATACTTTATATAATGGAATGCTATGCAATAATTTTGTGTATTTATACTTCTAGACTTAGAGAATTCTGGTAACAAAGAATGGCACATTAAAAGCATGTTACCAAGCATCATATATAGTATGATCCCATGCATATAAAATTGTATACATAGACTGTCCACCTAGAAAGATTTGTGGAAGGATCTTCCTTCAAAACATTCATATATTTTAAGTCTGAGTTATGATATTTCACTATTATTTTTTCTTTTTTCCTCTTGATTATTTTTAAATACATTTTGTGTATTAGGGAAATGATAAAGCTATTTTGAATGCATTCATCAAGTGAAAGAGGTAAGTAAAACCTAAGATCTCAGATGTGAGAACATGTGAAATTTTATTGAATTTATGCCTTGGTTATTCATGGAATTTTTATGATACCTGGAATGTACTTGGTGATGTGATGGTGGCTGACATTCATCTGTTATGCACTTGTTTGTCAAATAGTCAGCATCTGTTTTGGTCAATAACTTGATGAAAAGAACCATTGTCTTAAGTGCATATGGTCAAATCAGCCCCCGATTAACTAGAGATAAAAGAGGATGCTGGATCAAATGACCAAAGGTTCAATACAATCCAAATAATATAAACAAACATCCTGAGTGATTACAGAACAAAATATCAACATTGTAAATAAAGATAGGTTGACTAACAGAGTCTTGCAGTCATACTGAAGCCTGAGGCAGAAGAAAAAATCAGTAATACTGAGCCTGTCTTTGATAAAAATGCTTGTATTTTATTCATGATGACTTTTTGCATTAGTTATGATTTTTGAGGCATTACATTAAAATATTATATATTCTGATTACCGAAATTTTTGCACCCTAGGTTAAGTACCTCACTCCCCTCACTTACTCACTCACTAGACTCCTCTTAGTCCAGCCCTGACTTGGAGGTGTCTCATGAAATAAACTAACTAATCATTTAGTGCATAAAGAATTGTCTGCATATTACTTTTGAGGATTGGCTGCCAAGGTGACATGTTAAAAACCTTGCTGTAAACCTTTCCATTCATTAATGGCAATCTAGCATTGTCTTTACCTAAATTACAAGAAGAAAAAACAAAAATATTTTAAATTCAGCAGTCTCCACAGGCTTTTGAACAATGCCATGTATGTTCTGTTATGATGTTGAGACACAGGGATTTCCAGATCTGTTTGGAAACCATTGACAGAGCACTGTGTTGAGGATGTGCTAACATTTATATGTATGTTAATACAAAGAAAACAAAAGTAAAAACACTAAGGGGACAAATTGTTCATACAGACACAAAAGTGATTATTAAAATGAAAACTCATAAGTCAGGATTACAGAGAAATAACTTCCAGCAAAGGATCTTTGCAAATATTCCAACATTTATTCTTAGCTCTATGAGATCTTGCATTAGGGTTGAGAGAAAGATATGTGCAGCATCATGTTGCAGTGCATTTTGATATTATTTACCATTTTGTTTGCTCCCAGATATTTAGGTTCCCCAAGTATGCAGTATACTGAGATCATGGAAATACTGCAAAGTGCTGACCTCGCTCTCTTTCTCATTCACTCTCACAAATACCTTTTTCATAAAATCCTGTCCTTAAATAGTTGGCAACATGAGTGGTAAAAATAGAAAGGTTGAGACTGAAAGTTGTCTTTTGATGGTAGTTTACTCCTTACAGCTTTGTGTTGAATTGTGTACGCAGTCACATAATTATTATTATCCCAATGTATTTATACCACCATGGTGTTTAATTTTTCTTCCTAACTTTACAGAATTGTTTTGTACGCAGTTGTGTTGAATTGTGTACGCAGTCACATAATTATTATTATCCCAATGTATTTATACCACCATGGTGTTTAATTTTTCTTTCTAACTTTACAGAACCTCATATTTTCAAATTGCACTTCTGCTGTGGATCCTAGACCTTACAAAAAATCCCTGTACTGAAAAAAATAGTGATTTATGTACTCTTGCTTAGAAATAAAATTTCAAATGGAGCTGATTAGTCAACTGTGAACCCGTTTAGAATTAATGCTTGAATAATTTTCTTAAACAATACCATATAGTTTCCCCACAGGAAGAAATATGATATATGAAATCTTCAGTTACTTTAGGGACACTGTTTTTGTATTTTGAAAATCACATCTTGAAGCAAATCCTTTAAAATTAAGTAGCACTGAAAACCATGAGTTATTATATACCTATTTAGCA